GTCTTTAGTTATGTATTCAGAGGCCCCCTAGTGGGCCGCTGCCCCTGGTTGAGAACCACTGTCTTGGAGAAGAATCTCTGAAGGGCTCTGTTTCCTTGCACCTGTAAACAGCCACATAACTCCACCCAGAATACCCTAGAAACCACTTAGCAGTGAACTTGTAACCATCCAGAACATCCTGGCAACCATATATCAATATGGTGAAATGCATTCAGATCCACTCACATTTTCTTAAAAATATAAAATTCAATAAATAAATAGACAAATAAAACAAACAAATGAATAAAATGTAGTTGCAAAACTGTATATGTATTATTTTATAGTTGATATTGATAGTTGAGGGAAGACAAGAAAATTATGAGCCAGACTTGATTGACTCCCTGAGCTCCATGTCTCACTAACCCCTAGGACACAGCTCCAGTGGAAACTTATAAAGTTGAAAGCACTTGTTTAAGGTCGCCAACGAAGGCTAGAGCCCTAGAATGCATTTGAAGAGAAGGTTTTTCTTTAGTACTGCATTGTAGAGGTGCGTAGGCAAAGACACTTGGTAGCTTGTATCATCTTTCTTCCCCTGTCTTTTTTTTTTTTCGTGTGGCAATCACTCCATACTTCACTTTCGCCCCACCGTGCACTCATTCGTATCCTCCTCTGCTTGTTTTAATGGGCTGTAAATTACCTTTAAAGATTCACCCTCACAGGGTTACATAAACCTGCTGGAGAGGCTGGGAAACAAACGCGAAGGAGGACTGGTATCGCAGCCTCATGAATCCCACTAATAAACCTCTGGTTTGAGTTCACTGAATGGCCATCTTCACAGGATGAGGTTCTCTGGCAAGTAACAGCCATTGATTAGCTTCAACTCAATATACAAAAAAAATGCAATGTGCAGACACACCATAAAAAGCCACCGTGTTCACCCCGCCTCCCCAGTTAATCAGGCATTATCTCATTTTGTCTCCTCTACAGACAGACAACAGAAAGCACGGCCGTAGACAGTTTCCATTGTTCTTTCACTTATACTGTGAGTTACTGAATAGAGCAGCCATGTTTCTGTAAACGGAAAGAGGCTGAGTCATCTACTGCTAATCAATATCAATGAGCCAATATTCAAAGGAAATGACGTGAGACAAAATAGGTGTGGATGCAGTTTCTGCATACAAACGGTGCTCTTGAGCATCATTTTAAAAGAAAAATCAATTTGTCATCTGGGTACTTTCTTGAAATGAATAAATTATCAGAACTGCAACACAATGGGAAGATCATCAGCTTTCAAAATGTCACGTCACTGACAGGTCTGCTTGATCCCTCACCGGCTGGCTGACACACATATAGATCAGTCACGTGGTATGCTGTGCGAGGTTAAGCTGTGGGAGAAATACAAAGAGCCCCTTATCACTCAGTCACTGCAATGCTTTCGGCTAAGCCCCTCCACTCTCAGGTGAGACAGGCTTTTCCTGCAAGGAGGTGTAAACCCAAAGAAAATGAATTAACACTGGACAGAGGCTGGTCTGCCTTTGCTTGTTGGCTGAAGGCAGTCGTTCCGCCATGCTTACCTCTCCGTGCTGCTACATTTTCAGCTCCACAATAAAGTCGACAGCCTCTTGAGATGATTCAGTACAAAATATGCTAGAGTACTCTGATGGAAACATACAGCTCACAAACACTCTCTTAAACACACTCTGGCACTACAGAAAGGCGTGTTTTTTGTAGCTTCTGTTATTTGCTGCAACACTAAAAGGGATTTTGCTCATGTTTCAGTGTGATGATCTCTTTAATGGGCTCTGTTTTCAAAAGTGCAAAGAGGAAAATCATCCATTCCAACTTCTTTAACCTCCTCAGTCCGGAGATGGGAAACTTTACAAATAAATAATGTTTAGTTAATGCGAATTGCTGCATGTTAAATAGCAAACTGTGTTAATTCTGTTTTTCTGTAGGAGGGAACTAAGTAATATTCAATGTCCGGTATACTGGATTTAAGCACATGGTTTATGAAAGTATTTATTTTTTCTACCAGTGCTGCAAGATAGAAGCAAGTACAGCACATTTGCTGACTGCTGCATGCAAAATTGTGAACTAATAGGTCTATGAAATAAAATATGAATAAAATAATAATTAATAAAACATGCTTAAAACCATAATTAGGTTTTATTTATTGAATCATTTATTTTATTATATTTATTTATTTTACATTTATAGTGACACTGCGTGAATAAGTAGTGAGTAAAACTAATGCACAACATGTACAGTATTTAATATACAATTATTTCCTGGAGCAGGAGGAATGTTAATTTTATCATAATTATATTTTTTGTACTAGTTTTTGTTTTAAGATATTTTGCTTTTGCAAGGATGGGAACATTCTGTTTCTGGGTTAGGTATGTTTCTGTAACATTCTGGAATATTCTAGTGCTTTCTGGAACATTCTAGAACATTGTGGGACTAGTCATAAAAGACAAAAATCAACGTACACTTCTGAAGTTTTCGGACGACTCGCTTTTGGTAAGTGTTTATGTTAAACGTAATGTACCATGTACATGCCATTTTAATGCATGAGTTTTATGAGTTTTAGTTTTATGCATAACAGATTAGCTTGTATAAGATGTCAAAATATTTTTTATGAGCACTGTTAAAAGTGATGTGATTTTCATATTCACCATGTCAAACTTCATAAACAAACATTAAAAATAAAAGCGAAACAAAACTTTTATAAAAATGTGTTTCACAGTGTAATTACACTCACTAAGACCAAACTCCTGTATATTAGACATCAACATTTCACTTTAATTCGTTTTTTTTCACTTTATATTGTAATTTGTTTTAATAACAGTAGCATTCTGTAATGATGAATGTGACATTTCAGCTAAAAATACCACTTCTTTCTCTGTCAGAGGTGTGAAGCATCATTCTTCATTGAATGATAAGAAAATCTAAAACAAGTTTATCCAGCAACGTCATCACATTTGTTCTGCCACAAAAGGACTAAACAAAACCTTATGAAATATTGTCACATGCAATGCATGTGTTTTTGACAAATCTCTTGTTTTGCGTGCTATTTTAAGGCCTTTAAAGGTCAGTGTGTAATTGGTGCAAGGTCGCTTCCAGCACAGCCCTTGATTGAGGACAGCATTCATTATCTCGTCAGTTTTCTGTCTATCACACCCTCCATCGTGCCACTGCATTGTTCATTGGGGAATCACACCCCCAGCACAACATAATTATTCTGCATATTTCAGGTAATTAACGAACTAGGGGTTGGCTACATATTCAAGACCCCATTTGCAACTTTTGGGTTATAATGCAGCCAAATCCCAGAGCTGGGATTTCTGCAAAGCCATATTCAATTGTGTGACAAGTTTCACTATCCACTTGGAGTTCCATTAGTTCTATCATTCCTCTGCTCTGTCGTTCTGTCTGTATTTTGTCACTTTAAATCATTTTCTTACTTACTTGTGCATGTTGTGTGCATGTTTTTCAGACAGGTCTACACGGCAGTGGTATTCAAGTGAGAAATACTACCGAAGCTAATTAATCAAATGTAAAAATAAAACACTGCACTGTTATAATTGAGAAATAAAAGGCCATTTTCTACCCTGATTTTAGCCCTCTGATTTCAACACTTTGTTTAAAGGGGCATATGTCGCCTTTAAGAACTCAATGTACACGTCCACTGCTATAATTGGTTAACATATTTGCATATGAAATAAGTATTACATGTGGAACACTTACACCATTACAATTCGATTTCGGCACTCTCACAAATGATTTTATCATAACTAAAACAATGCAAGCACCATGCAAATAAGTAATTAATTGTGTAGTGTAGACAGCGTCATTGATTATAATGAGAGTTTTGCTGACAATGTTGAACCCAATCACTGATAAACTCATGTTGAACTGAGGTGATTGACAGCTACACTGATTATAAAGGGGTTTTCTTTGCTTGCATCCTGTGTATAAGTTTATTCACAATTGAAATAGCAGATGTTTTTCATGCCACTAAGAGGAACAATGTAAAGTTGACAGTTTAGTCACTAGCTTGATTAACTAACGCAAAAACAGCAATAAACTATTTTTCAATAGAATGTCTGATTGTACATAAGTCCTTACATATCAAAAATCACTTATGCAAATGTCCAAATGGGTTATTGGCCAAAATAAGCTGAAAATTGACCATTCCAATAGTCAAGTCTGACTGCAAGTCTTTAAGTTAAACATTACTCTTTTTATTTATTTATTTATTTTATTTTTATTTATTTTATTTATTAATACATTTTTTACATAGTGCTTTACTACGTAGTAATATTTTTAAAAAACGTATTAATATTTTTAAAAAATCTATCAGCCAGCTCCTTGGAGAAACTGCATTTTAAAGTTTGAGGCTTGTGTCTGTGTCTGTAGAATTAGGAATTGGGGTCTATGGTAGAAAAAATCGGGATCTATTTTGAACTTTTGTTCAGGCTTTATTTATTTATTTTTTTATCATTAGAAATTTTTTACATAGTGCTTTACTACTTAGTAATATTTTTAAAAAACGTATTAATATTTTTTAAAAATCTATCAGCCAGCTCCTTGGAGAAACTGCATTTTAAGGTTTGAGGCTTGTGTCTGTGTCTGTAGAATTAGGAATTGGGGTCTATGGTAGAAAAAATCGGGATCTATTTTGAACTTTTGTTCAGGCTTTATTTATTTATTTTTTTATCATTAGATGAAGTCAAGCTGTTATTTTCTTTCTAGGACTTGTCCTGGACCCATTCATAATAACTGCATCTCCTACCCGAGGAGGCTTCAATCGCAACAGATGTTCATAGAATAAAAGATCAAAGATGCTGACCAAGATCAATCTCTCTTCCTCTCTATCCATCCTTCTATTTATGACTTCAGTCTCTTCTTGCTTACTGGCCTTCCTTCTTTCTGATTTGTTTTCTTGTGCCTTATTTGTTTCTTTTCAAAGCATCCTTACTTCCTTTTCGAGACCTGAATCTCTTCTTTCTTCTCCACAGGGCTGTAACAGGTCACAGAGAACCCATTCCCGATGACAGCAAAGACAACATCACCATCTTTACCCGGATCTTGGATCGCTTGCTGGATGGTTACGACAACAGATTGCGTCCCGGACTAGGAGGTACGATAAATGCGTGTACACATTTCCTTCCTCATTGTCTCCAGTGTCCCCATGCTGGCCTTACCGTTGGCTTGCAGATGGAGCATGTTTTTCCTCAGTCTGGCTTTCATTACTCTTCTTACCACAAGTCTCACACCTCTGAGATCCATGACAGATTGTGTTTTGGAACAGTGAAATTACTCATCTTCTCTTGGCACTCTAATGTTTATCAATAGCAGAATCTGTCACAGAACAGCACTCTCCCGAGATCACTTACAAATCGTAAGCTTAAGGAGCCCCAAGAGCCTCATGTGTTGAAGATTGCTGATGAAAATAAAGAGGAAGTCTTGACCACTGCTCTGACGGTGCACCCACAGATTGCTAAATTAATCATCATGAAGAAGCTGATCGGATCCCCTGGTCATTCTGGATTCAGAGCACATTAAATGCTTGGTTTCTGAGCATCGATGCACTATAGTCTACGTCCCATTGGCATTTATAGAAATGTCCCACAGATGTCCATTAGACCATCTCCCTCTGTGTATATATTTTTTCTCACAGAGTGAATCCCCAGTGATCTCTAAAAGTACACAGCCTAAATTGTGAGCCCAGCAGTGGGCAGTCAAAAATCAAGATGTATGCTTTTGATAAATGGGCTAAGTCACATTGGCACACTGAGAGCTGTGGGCTCATACTGTGGAGCTGGACGGCTTCCATTACCTCTATTGCCTGAGTCCTGCTGGCTACACCTGGCTCCCATCCAGTCACCCCTCTCAAGCACCATCAAATCTTTCCATTTCCTCCCTGCTTTACATAGTTGCTGATGTGTATTACAGTACTCATCACATCAAAGTTGCTAACTGGAACATGATGACTTACTTCAGATGGTTAAAAGCCTACTCCACACACATGACATTTTTAAGTGTCCATATTATGGTCAATTAAAAGTTCATAATTTTATTTTTGGGGTCTGCTTGCATGATTTAAAGTTCAAAAAACATTATTTTTCTCATAATATACATTGCTACGGCACCTCTTTTCACCCTCTGCCCGAAACACTCTGTTTTAGATCCTGTCTCTTTAAAGCATAATTCTTAATAAAAAGCTCAGTCTGCTCTGATTGGTCAGCTGACCCAACCGCTCAGAGTTTGTGTCAGAAATGTAATGCCCCTTACCATAAGTTTTCAGCCCCCAAGGATTCATGAGCATCTGTAAACAGTGTTATATCGATGGTAAGTATGGTGCTGGTATTGGAACGCCATACAATGTTTTTGCTCTCACAGCGAAAAAAAATAAAATAAATCAGTCTCATCGACATAGCGAAATCATTTCCCCAACTGTTTTTTGAAGTTAGGCAAAAGCAGCCAATAGGTGGGCATTATGCAAATGTGTAACATGGTCACATAGCTAAAACACAGAAATATTGGCAGGACTACAAACAAAGCGTTTTAGGCAAGTGTTTTCTGATGGAAAGATTAATGGCATCGCTAGATCCAATGTTGTCTTTTTTCTAAGCCATCCTAAAAATCTACCATCAGAAAACTACTTAGAACATTTTTAAAACATTACAGCATTTTAGAACAGTGGTTCTTAATCCTGGTCCTGGGGACCCACCGCTCTGCATATTTTGTATGTCTCCCTTTTCTGACACACACTGTTTAGTTCATGGAGCTGTTTAGTTCAGGGGTGCCCAGGACCAGGATTAATGCAAAATACTGTCTTGACAGATATTTACAAGTTTCCCCACTTAAACATAAGCACAGTAGAGTGAGTAAATAAACACTGATGAATGTATTTATGATTATAATGCATATAATAAAAAATAAATTACTTGTTATAAAATAAATCAGTCTCATCGACATAGCGAAATCATTTCCCCAACTGTTTTTTGAAGTTAGGCAAAAGCAGCCAATAGGTGGGCATTATGCAAATGTGTAACATGGTCACATAGCTAAAACACAGAAATATTGGCAGGACTACAAACAAAGCGTTTTAGGCAAGTGTTTTCTGATGGAAAGATTAATGGCATCGCTAGATCCAATGTTGTCTTTTTTCTAAGCCATCCTAAAAATCTACCATCAGAAAACTACTTAGAACATTTTTAAAACATTACAGCATTTTAGAACAGTGGTTCTTAATCCTGGTCCTGGGGACCCACCGCTCTGCATATTTTGTATGTCTCCCTTTTCTGACACACTCTGTTTAGTTCATGGAGCTGTTTAGTTCAGGACCAGGATTAATGCAAAATACTGTCTTGACAGATATTTACAAGTTTCCCCACTTAAACATAAGCACAGTAGAGTGAGTAAATAAACACTGATGAATGTATTTATGATTATAATGCATATAATTAAAAATAAATTACTTGTTATAAATAGCACATACTTATTTGCACTTTGCAGAATCAGTTAACAATTTTAACAAAATATGACCATATCATAAAAATTGCATTTTTTTTTTATGTAGTCTGCCCTGAATTTTGCATGTGTATGATTTCCCTC